ACAATTGAGTAATAGATAAGACTATATCCTGTCGAAAGTTCATCCGGTCATTTAAGAAATTACCTTCCTTTGAAAAATCGTAGGGACACTTTATCTCAGTTTGCAATCATTGCATTTGAGATATACAATCTCTTGGAACCCTCATCGAAACTGGTTAGATTAAAAAGAACGACGAGATTAAATCTGTAGCGAAATTGACAAATGGACTGTGCAGTTTAATACGAAATTAAATATTGAGATGAGAACAATTTCAACTTTTAATATTCGTGGACAGTTTAAACAGGCAAGTAATAAACTGTTTGAACTAAAGAAAATTGTGAAACTAAATCTGTAGCAGAACAGATAAATGGACTGTGCATTTTTATGAGAAGTGAAATATTGAGATATTATAATCTAGTTTTCAATATTCCTAAACGAAGTTTTATGCTTAATGTCCATAGTAGAGAAGAGGCAGAAAGGGTTTGAACTAAAAACAGATTAAGGTTGTATGAACCGTAAGATCTCTTAAGATATGTAATAAGAAACTGTGTCCAATAGCTAAGAAAATAGCTAATAAACAGCAAACAAATATCCTAAACAAGAAAATAGGTAATAAACAGTTCGAATTAAAAAACAAGATTAAATCTCTATAAAAACAGACAAATGGACTGTGAACTTTAATTGCAAATAAAACATTGAACTATGCAGCTTCTAATATTCGTGAATAATTTAACATTAATTTATAGAAAAGAGACAGCTGAGAAGTTACATCGTTGCATCAACGGTAATTGAAACCCTACGACGATTAATCAAGTGCTAACTGACTGACCCCCCCTTAAATTACGCGGCTACTGGTTCGTAAAACCTCCGCAGTTATAAATCATTTTCCTTGCGACGTTTATAATTGAATTATCTCTTCCGGGACAGAGTTTCTTTAATCTAGGTGAACGACCGTTGACACTAATTTTTAGCGAAAGCCGCGGCGTTAAAAAGCGGGGCTCCATTAAGTCCGTAGCGGCGTGGAATCCGAAATAAGAGTCATTGTTATTCACTCATTGCGGCCGGACATGAAGGGAATCAACGCAATCCCAGTGCGCATTAACTGGTTCAGTAATCCGAATTATGAAATGGAAAGTACGCTATGATTGTACGCGAGTGAACGTTGTTGCACGTTTCGACACGGTCTGAGATTATTTTTTTTTTTTCTCTTCTCAAAACGATAGTCTTCCCCGGAGCCGATCCGTGAAATCGGTCTTAGCAGTCTTCCCATTCCAAGAAACGCGTCTCGGTTGCGTTGCAGATCGTTATCCTCGTAATTACCTCGCATTCAAATAACGGCGGCTATTAATTGCGAATCAGCCGACGACACTTGGTCGCGAGGACGATTTAGAAAGTCGGCGAGGAGCTAGGAAAGTCAACGGCTCGTTAAATCAGACGATAGAGAGAAAAAAAATGAATACCTGTTGCAAAATACGTTGGCATTTTTCACTGTCGTCGGTGTGAGAGTCGTCGTCGTCTCCTCTGGCCGCGCGTCTTCTCTTTCGCGGATCATAATTCACCTGCTGAAATGTCTCCTTTCACCCTCGACAAAGTTTCGTTCCCAGGAAACTTTTACTCGTGATCATCACCCGCTATGTACAATCTTCACAACGCTCGTCTCGATTAATTTTAACTCAATTGTGCAATTGTATGCTCCGGCAGGTTCCTTAATTATACTTTAATAAATATTGACTCGAATCGGTTTTATGCGATCCTACAATCAGATTGTTTCTTATTTCGTTGTAGAGTTACAAGCATGAGGACGATATGGCTGACGCTGGTGCTGGTCGCCGCTATGGCGAACGCTCAACGGAGACTTGCCCTCCCCGACCCTCGTAGCTGCGCTAATCGTGAGTGAACTTCGTTTTCATGCAACATTAAATCGGATTTCTTTTACATCGACCATTCTCCTGTTCCAGGGGTACGACACGCGACGTACAGAGACGCGAGGGGAGTCGCACACTCGTACTTCTTCAGTTGGGAACATCAACCGACCAGAAGCCTTGAAGTAGATTGGCTCGACTCTCGTAATATCTGTCGTAGACATTGCATGGACGCTGTCTCTCTTGAAACTCCTCAAGAGAACGAGTTCATCAAGCAGAGATTAGCAAGAGGTAAGTCAATTAACACCCACTTGACTAATTGGGTGTGTTAGCAATTATTTAACACTGATATTCAAATTGTAGTAAGTGGACCAATTTCTGATCTCAATTTCTCTACTCTACTCAATACTCTTCTCTATTATTTTATATCTAGTACTAAGGGAAAAGATTCTGATGAAGGTGTAATAAGACAGAATGTCAATGGTATTGGCTATACTGTCAATCCGAAAAGTTTATGTACTTCAGAAAACGCACTTCCTATAATTAAAAAGAAATCAGACGTCGGAAGAATAATGCTAATAATAAATAGCCACGTGCTAAAAAGTATAGAAGGAAATATCCAATTAAGTATTGACGCTGACATTTTTTTTTTCAAAATTACGAAAAATGCTTCAAATAAAAGTTGTTTTTCTTCTAAATTTGATATTTAACGAGTTACGTATGATTATTTTGCATTTTATTGATGTTGACCAAATCCGACCATCCCACCGTCGAAACGGCGAACTTTTGGAAAAAAATTTCGTTTTTCCTCAATAACTTCTAAACCGTTAGACTTACGAAAAAATTGCGTAGAACCTTTCTTGTAGAGGACGACGAGATCTATAATTTCCGTATAAAAATTTCTTGCTAGCATCAGTATTTAGCGAGTTATTGACGAAAAACGAAAAAACAGTTTTTTGCAAATTACTCGTTAACTATTGACGCTAGCAAAAACTTTTTACATGGAAATTGTAGATCTCGTCGTCCTCTACAAAAAAGGTCTCTTGCAATTTTTCTGTAAGTCCAGCGG